CTCTGTCCCTCTCTCGTTCACACGTCCCGCCGGCTCGGCCACGCGAGCGATCGCCACCTGGCCGAGTGTTACGTGCGTGTACAGCATCCCAAGCCTTCCCTCATAACCTTAAAGTTTCGAAACGACCGTTCGTGTATTCGGGAGTGTTTTTTCACGATTTGTAACTGTGAACGAATGATACAATGTTTCTGTTATGTTGCGTGTAACCGTAAATAGTGCCGTCGGTAAAGTGGCTGCCTCTTCGATAGATCTGTCAACTTGACAGCTACGTTGAAAATTATTAGGCGCGTCGTACGCGGAACAAGGCGTGCCTTGGCGGGATCGTGACGATTTATCGTCGAGGAAGCATCGAGGATTATATTATGCTTGTCCTCGATTTGTCTATGTGAACTATGGGACGAAAGGTGAAAGGTAAACGACCGTCGTTTCGTTTGACGATGGTCGTGTGACTTGTTTACGTGTTTTTGTTACGTACAGGTGTATAGTGGATTTATATTTCGAATTTGTTCGCGAGAGATCTATGGTTTTTTGAGGGGGATAAAGTGTTCGGTTTATGAGGATTCGGATAAAGAGCTATATCGTTTGGAAACGGACTATATACTGTGCAGGAAGTGGCGAATAGGCGATCTCGCGACTGTTTGAGATGGAAGTGAGTAATAGCAGAGTAAAGTGACCGCTGTATTGGTCGTGATGATCATCGTACGGCCATAAACTGTCGCCTGAGTGATTCAATTGCTACCGCAAGCCGACCCAGCAGCAACGATGCATCACTATTATACGCAAGAAGACATAGATCGTGTTGGTAAGCGAGGGGTTTGGGTTTGGTTAATGTTCACTCGTTTGTCCTCTAAGTCATGCTTTAAATTTAACGATTTAATTTAATAAGAGGGGGAAAAATAGCTGCGCAATATCATTTTATTTAGATGGAAATTTTATTGCTGAAATTAATAACAATATTTCCAAATTGCTTTTAACTTATTCCTCAAAAATAAGAAAAGCAAATAAGATAATTGTTTAAAATCCATTATTTATATTTTAAAATAAAAATCAAATCTCTGTACAAATTAAACAACTTCAAAAGCTATTCGACATCAACAAGTTCGTAATTATCAAGTGATCGGTGTTCTCTGATCGATGAAACGAGGTCAGGTCAACAGGTCCACTTTTAACTTTGACCTAAAACTTCACCTGTTAAAGGTGATACGGGGAAGCAACAGACACGCCACCGAAACACCAGCGCGGAGATAGGCGGTGTCGCTAATTATTCGACGAAAAAAAGCGCCGCCTGGAGGATTGTATACGATTACAAAGTTTGTCGACCAACTCCTTAAGCGATCCACGTCGGCGACATCGATGATTTACAATGCAAATGTCGGGTGGCGCGTAACTTGGTAGAATTATCGGTCAAATCGCAAATTTCATCGGGCCTGGTTCCAGCTGTAAATTGTTCGTTCGCGTATTTACACGGAATTAAAGCTGCTCCTTCGAGACCGCTCAAATTACCTTATGACGTCATCTAATTTGCCGAGTTACACCACGCCAGATGTATCGCGGTAAATGCGATTGCCGTAGTTTTAGCTGCTTGCGATTATGAACTCGGAATATATAATAGACGTTGCGGTAATTGTTGATAGTAATAATACATATAGGAAGATTATGAATTAATTTGATGAATTCGAAAATATTAGAAAACCTTACATGCACTTTTAATATCTCTATAAAATTATACTTAAATTATTTTTGAATTTTAAGAATATATGATATTCGTAGAAATGATAGAAATTTATAATTCGATTCACTGTAGTAGCTCTAATATTTTCATTGCTGATTATTGGTCCAAAGTCACGTGACTCAAGATGGCAATTGTCGACGAAATTTAAAGTTTTTGATCAGGTTAAGAAAACATATTATAGTTATAGAAAAATTTTTCTTTTTAGACGAAATAAGGAAATATTATTCGTTGAATAATCGTATATTCTGAATTATCATTAAATATCCATTTCCAAATATGAAAAAAAGTTTCCACAAAAATATAAAAAAAATTATTGAAAGATCTAGATTTCAAAGCGACGAATTCCTCTAACATTTTCATCACGATTCTTTTCTTTGTTTTTTTTTTTCAACCCTACACGGGGTGAAAACACGCGTGCGGTATTCTTAACATTAACGCGCCTATTTGGGAAATGTATGCAGGTTAGATCCCAGGCGTACCGGCTACCCCTTGTTCCCCGGATTATATTAGGTCCTTCAGGCTTTCCGCGCGAGTCTCCAACGGAATATAAATTGGCTTGGATACGATAGCGGCGAAATGAAGGAATGGAATAAAATTTGAACGTCTTTCCGCGACGAGCGCATCGATTTCGCCTTTCGATGGAAAAATAAAAGATTCGTGCTAGCCTGTTTGATAATTCCAGGCAAATGAATCTTCTCGAATTTATCGAGATACCCTGACATTTATTGGAAAAATTTTCAAAAGTAACACGCAGATATTACCCTCCATTTTGTTCTAATTTCTTAAACGATCCTCAACGATACAATTTTTCCTTCAACTTACCTTACCATTCTACCATCCTTCCTACCTTTTGCTCCACTTATCCAGCCACCCCTCATCCACTCCACGCAACCTACAAACTCTTACCTTATCAACTACTACTCCAAATCCTACGCTGCCCCACTGATCCCCCCACCCAGTGACACCCAGGAACGAGACTTCGCCCGAAATCCCACCCATTACAAACAATCCACCGATTGTAGCCGCGCCCGCGTGTTCACAATCCAGCAGAGCGCGGTCACGTGGGTGCGCCACTTGACTCCTTTATTCGATCCGTGTAAAAAGAAATGTGGACGGGTGGACGGGACGCGTCTAGGTTGGGACAATAAGAAATGGAGAAGCGGGCGGAGGACACGCCATCTCATTGTTCGCGGCACGGTGGTGGTCGTCGCACGTACGCGTTCCCCGTAACGCATTCTGCTTTAAGGCCACCCTGCTCGTAAGCAAATTAGAATGGCGCACGTGGCTCGCATAAGTCGGCTTCGTGTCTGCCGTGCTCCGTCGTGTGGGGCCTCTGGGCGTCGAGCTGGATTTGTAAGGCCACCTTCTCTCTCTCTCTCTTCCTTTCTCTTCCTCCCTCCCCCTCCACCAACGGGCTTTTCTGCC